AGGCTTTGACGAGGTGGTCTCCAGCCGTCAAATGTTAGCCTGAAGGCTATCAATTGTGTTAAAGGTCTGTTACAAAGACGATTTGCCAATTAAAAAAACAATTTCATTGGTTTTTCTCATTCAGTTAATGGATTAAAATGCATTATTTTATGATTATTGTTAACCCCTGTATCAGAGATTAGAATTAAGGCTTTAAAATGAAATAAAATTTGCGTGTCTGAATTTTAATTGTGGTGCTTTGATCATTGTTGTATGTCCCAGGACACACCAATTAAACACCATTTCATATAAACGTGTGATGTGTGTCATGCCCTGGAGGTAAATCAGCAGCTGTCTCTTTTTTATCACTCAACATGGGAATGAAGTAATAAGATATGACGAATGTTTCATCAAATCACATTAGATTTGGTGTTTTTTTTCCACAATAGGTAATAGATCAGAGAGAATGTGATATAAGACACCATTACTGCTGTTTGTACATGGTTTCTTATTTTCCATTATAAGGCTACAGCACTACACTCGCCCTCCTCGACAACTAGATATTATCCCATTTGAGCTTTTACTAGCCAACATAAAAATGGAGTACCAGAGTGATTATTCAGAATTATGATGGTAGTGGTGATAAACATTAGCCTTGGCTGCTAAAGAGGAGCTGCAAATGCCAGGACCAGCAGCCATCACAGAGCCATAAATGAGGGAAATACCTCCACTGGTGGGCTCAGAGCTAGCATAACAAACACAGCCATTATTTAGCCTTTGAGCTGGATGTTTACTCAGAACATCTATCAGCTATCTAAGGGACATCTAGAATACCTTTCAATGGCGAACAGACCCAAATGACCTCATTTGAATGCATTATTCTGCACATAACTCCCACAAATGATACATTAAAAAGCCGTGATCAACACGTAATAGACCTTTCGCCTCCAGCAAAAAATTCACTGAAGCAACAGAGACTGCATGCCTAAGATAAAAAGCAGACAAAAAGAAAGACAATTAGGAGCCGAAGAAGAAATTAACAACCTCATTGATGGGCCTGAATGGTGTCCCAGAGGTAGAAGAGGTAAAATGTAATGCTTCAACAAAAGGACATTAACACAGATCCCTTCATTACTTTGATTTTAATGACCTCCATCCACACCCACACCTCATTCATATGAGCCAGAAAGAAAAATAATTTTCTTTGGTTAAGCAGCACAGTATATTCTTCATATCCATCACTGCTCCGTGTAGACGTTGTCAGATAGAGAGCAGTGAGCTCAGATGTCATTGTTTTTAATTAATCCTTTGACATTTTCAGAGTGCTAGCTGCCTGGAGCCTCACTTTTATAAAAGCTATTCCTAGTTGAGATTCAGCTGAGGTATAAAAAGTATTGCAGAGAGCAGAACCAACGTTTTATCAAATTAGACTGAGTTGTATGGAACAAATCATAGAATGATTCTTACTATAGGTAGCTGCCAGGTGCTGTCCGTGGTTAACCAAACAAAACTGACTTTGGCACGCTGATATTGGCTGTGAACCATAATACTAAAGACTCGAAGAGGTCCCACTTGTACCTGGTTCACTCTTGAAGAGTTTTTAGATCTTGACAGATGTTGAAAAGTGAAAATGTAAAAAAAACCCACACATGGTAAATAATGCAAGATTTTTGCCTGTAATGTGCAGACAGCAACAAGATGTACAAGAAATCCTATGTAGCACTTTATACCATTTACCGACGACTAGACTGGCAGCTTCTGTCCTTGGTTCAATGGTGGTGTAATCTACAGGACCCCTTGTATAGACACTGTTGTTGTGGTTGTCCTCAATCAACAGCCTGCCCCTCTTGATATCCATCTGACCTTCTGCTTCATGCTCACCATTATCACTGTGGTAACATTTGTTGTGTTATCAATCGGCTTGTTCCATGATTGTCTAGCATGTAATTCCTCGTACCAATACACAGGGTGTGTGCTTGGCTGTCCATCCTACACATGTTTGATATCCATAAAATCATACCCCTGAGGCCACGATCTTCTCCCATACATATTGATTGGAGTAAAATCACTTTGAACATGCGTCACACCACAGGATTATCTGGCAGGACAAACCAGTGAACCATCATTATTAAGGAATTTGATGGATTTTGTTAAACACGGGTGGGGGTGACCAGATGTGACCAAAGTTGTCATTTGATTTATAAAACAAGTGGTTAAAAAGTATTTTTTTAATGTTAATGACAGGTTCAAAATTAACTTGTGGCAAAAAAAAACTTGTGAAGGACTTAACTATTATACCTTGCAATGGATTTATGTATATTTGGTGAATCCTATCCTGCACTGAGTGACCTCAGAGTCTGTGTAATAAATCTACAATCAGACTTACCCCCACAGGTAAGATTGAATCTCGATAACCACCTTAAAATTATTCTCAAAGTAATACCTTTTAAATTTTAATTAAAGCCTAGTCTAGGCCCATATTTTGCTTTTGGCTGTCTTTGCCCTTCAACAGTGAAACAACACTAAGTTTTCTTTTTCTCAAGCACCAGGTCCAATATTGATCACCTCTGAGGCAAATATTAGGGAGACACCAAACAAAAGTTTCTCATTATGGCTATCAGTTCATTGAATGTAATTACTCTGGACACTTGAGAAGTTATGCAGCAATTAAACTTAGTCACATAATTCGAGCTCAATTATCACACGGCGTGGATATGTATCCATGTAGAGATACAGTGAAAATGATTACACTGCTTTAACTGTTCCTAACGTTGGTCACGTTCAGAACAAGCCCTGCCGGTGAGTAATTACAGAATGAGTGAGCTTAATGAGCAGAGGTGAGCACTTCAAATGTGAGCCATGTCTCCACATACTAATGATGTGGGAGTTCATTTCAATAATAAAGAGGTGTGTGTTCTTGAATCATGCTTCAGCCGCGGAGGAGGGGATTTAAAATGTGAGAAGAAAGCTGAGACAGGACGGTGCTAAAGCCAATCAAATATTTGAACTAACTGTATGAATATTTGATCAGTAGAAGTAAAAGTTGGTCATGCATTGTTCAAAACACCGGCTATCATTTCATTCTGTTTATTGTTTCATTTTCAACAGTTGCCTGCCTCTGACACCGCCGTGTTGTCAATTTCCTTTGGGAAAAAATGTCTTTTTCAACACAAATGGACTATTTAATATTTCAGAGAGTATCCTACTGTTAACAAGTTCATTATTGTCATTTTTCTGAGTTCAAATGAGGATTATTTCAAAGTTGTGTCTTTTCTTTTTTCTTTTGTGATAAACCAGCAGACATACCAGGCTGCTGCATGTCTGTGTCATAATCCTCTTGTACTAACCTTCTCTCTCTTGTCGAGTCAGCCAAAGCTCAAAATCTCCACTGATAACCTGTAGTGGCCTCGACCAAAGTGCTGCTGAGCTGGATGGATTCGTGCACAATTACCCATTGATGATGTTTTGAAATGTTACAGACTCTCTGGAGAGAGCTTTCAGGGTCTTGGAGGGGATTGTTGTTGTCAATCAGTTTCTCTTCTCATGTGCACAATCACGAGTAGACTTGATATTACCATAGCAAAAAAAAAAAAAAAAAAAAAAAAACTTTAGCTTTTAAAATCCAGCCTGTCTCTTGAGCAAAGAAATGAGCTCAGATACGTCCCTAATAAACCCACTCAAAGACTGGCTTTTTTACATTTTAGGCTCCACTCTATAATGATAGAGGAGGGATGTGGATATAGCAAGAGCAAGAGGTAAAGGACTAGAGTGCCCTTGTGGTCCCAGACACAGATGGACAAGATGAGAGGGGAACAGAAGCACAGCTGAGACCTTGCAGTGTTCTGTATTTTAAGACCAAGAGTCAGTGAGCACGGATCTGCATTGAAGACTCTGGCTTTACTGTCACTCAGTCTTCCACCGCTCTCACCAGGGCGCCCAGGGACTCAATTCGCTAAGCATAGTTGCATTAAGATTAAAGACACTTTCCCCCTCTTAGATCAAAAGTTTGCCAGGCTGTGCTAAACATATCTCCAGTGCGAGATATGATGCTACAATTGAAAGTACATGGGTGTTCACAGCCTTTAGCAAGGTGTAAATGAAACTTAAAATCAAAGCTTATCAAAAATCTGCTTGAAATGAGTTTAAGTGTATCCTTCATTAGTCTGGGCAAAGGTTGTTTGGCAGAGCTGTGCCTAAGTGACCAACTTTGATTTTTTATTTTGCTTCAAATTACATCAGTCAACTGTAGTTTTGTGGCAAAGCTTTCATGAAAGGTGTAGTTTATGACGGATGGATTGGTTTGTTCTATAATGAATGCCTTCCTATTGAAATCCCTTAAGCCTCATGCATGAAAATGTTGCAACCCTAGACAGGTACAAAGCAGTTAATCCCCTAATGGGAAAAAGAAGAATAAAGGTACCCAGTCAGGCATGAACTCTTGTTTGTCCCACTTGCTCTCTGCTTGTAATATGCTTTGCTGGATGAGTGTATCGGCTAAATGTCTGAAATGGAAAATGTAAAATTTGTCTGAAGTTATCTCTCGGGCTTCTTACTTCCCATGAGATGAAGCACAAAGCACACACCACCTGAACTTTACAGAGTACAGAAGACTAGTAATCTTCCACCCGGGGCTTCAGCAGGGAGGGAAAGAAAGCACACAATAGCATCATCCACTTCTGATCCATTTTGTGAAGGGAGACGAATGAGAAAAGAAAATGAATACACAGCCTCCACCTCAGACCCAACAGTTGCAGGGAATGAAAAAAGAAGTGGCGAAAAGGGTCGACAACACTGGAATTCTAAATAAGTCTGCTTCTGTGGGTTTGAGCGAACTCCGTGACTGTGAGTGTACTGCAGTGCATACACTAAAAAGAACAGAAGTAGCCACCATCACGCTCTCTACTTGTTTACAAAGTTCTGTTTTAAAGCCTGAAGTTTAGCATGTCTGCCACGTCAACTTTGGCTTCCTGGGGTAAGAAGTGACAAATATTTGGACAGGAGTGCGGTGTAGGACAGGAGCAAGGGGTCGGCAAATGCCATGATATCAAAACTTAACAGTCTGTCCCCTTGGCTAATTCATGAGCTTGTAAATTAGCATGCCTACTGTGATTTTTCCCTTCAGCTCGACATTCATTTTATGGTACTAGCTTACAGGACTTGTGTTGATTAAAAGTCTGGTATTCACTGCTTCTTGGCTCACAACCCCAATGGGAGACCAAGCAATATATAGACAACATGAACAGAATAAACAAAAATAACTAGTCTTTTTATTACTACAGTCCCCTCCCTGCTTGGATCATAAACAGCACAGTTAATGCAAATAAGATCATCATCAGTGAATTACATGTAAAGTAAACGTGAGGTGATTTTGTTTTTGGGAAGGTTAGATCATTTGGTGAATTGTTTAGACGTGAAATCATCTCTTTAAGTTAACCTCAACTAGGCTTGATGTAAACAGACAGAAATGGCATCAGGGGAACCCTTCGTCTCCTGTATTAACACTTGAACCAACAAGGCCGACTGACAGATTGCTGGTGGCACTAGAAGGGGTCTGTAGTGGGTTCTCCCAGAGAAATTCAGTATGGTGTAGTCAGAAAGGTAAGTTTTAGGGATTTTATTCAACCAGGCTCCAAACACAGTAAAAAATATATACAGTGTCAAAACTATTTACAAAAATATTCAAGCAGATGAGCAGTGGGTTCACACTGAAAATGGGTTCTTCAATAACCTTCAATAGCAACTTGAGCAACCAGCAAAACTGAAACAGCAAAAAACAAAACAGTGCATTCGTAATCAATAGTGATGTGTCCTTTAGAGCCGAGGCTTCGGAGCGTGTGTCGAGTAATGAAGGGGCGTTTAGTGAAGCACGTATCGAGGCTTGCTTCATGTAGAGGGGGAGCCAAAAATGATGACGTCCGAAGCCTCGCTGCCCGGCTGTACCACGTGACTGATTCAAAAAACAGTTTGCGGGTTTGGCAGATTGTCTAACAGGCAGTGAAACGCAATGGAGTCCCCCCTACTTACAGTCCATGGACTCAGGACTTGTTGAAAAGTTGGTTTTAAATAAAAATAAATTTAATATTTACGTTTTTATATGTTGTTCCCGTAACAAAAGTACGAACAACAAACTAACAAAGGCACATTCACATCACAACCCTCGCCATAATTTATGTCCTCTTTCCCTTTTTGACTCTGTGTCTTAAAGACAGACACCGTATTAATAACTTCATAATTTCTGTATTGTATCACAAACATTCACTCATTTATTCAATTCAAAGCTTCGCGCACCAAAGCCTTGGGCGTCTTTGATAATTACTCTGCCTGTTTTACATTTATTGTCCACTTGTTGGCGCAATAAAGCAAATAAAGCAGGAGTCGAGCAATTGGATAGAAAGCTTCAATGCTTCAAGAGGATTCATCTCATTATCACTACCAACTCTCCACTACTCACTCAAAATGGCTGGCTGTTGAACAATAAGCCCCTCCCAGTGGGCATGACACAAAAAGAATAAATCAGAACAAAAATCAGGGTTTACTTTCTACAGAAACAACCAACATTGCATTAAAAACCCACTCACATATTGCAAAATACATCTGTTAAATTTGCCCCAATTTATATGTTTTAATTCAGTCTCCTATACTGAAGAATAACCCAGAATTAGATCAAACAAACCAGGTGCCCCTTTTTCCCGCCAAGTGCCCTTTAAGAACCCGGAAGTAGGTGCGCCCCTGTTTGGCTGACACTGTGGCTGACCGAGGGCAGCGTGGAGGAGAGCTCGGCGTCTGCGGTGGTGAGTGTCTGCGTGTGTAATGTATGAACGTGTGTGTGCGCCCTCGTGTAAACTCCAAGACTTGTGAGGATGTAAATTTGTTTGACTCTTGTGACCGCTGCGGTGGACCTGAATGGAAAGTTTGGCTAATGGTGTGTAGCGTGTTGCGTGTCGCTTGTAGCGTGTGTGTGTGCGCTGGCTGCATTCAGTGATAGGGGCGCAATGATGTTGGCGCTGTTCTGATCCATGTGTTTGGGCACATGAATGAAGCGAGTCATGGTCATGAATCAAACAAGTCAACACAAAATATTCAGGCAGTCAATTACACACGAGTCAAGTGCGTTAATATTTTATTCACTTCTGGTTTGAGATGAACCTAACTTTTATGCTTTTTTATGCCTTACCTTTTTACCTCTGCCACCTTAACCTATGATTGTCTCCTGGCCCTTTGAGAGGTTGGACTTTTGAGCTCCTTGTCGCTCTCATGGCGTGCTGTAGAAAAAACAAGAATGATAGCAGTATAAGATATTCATTTTAGATAATTAGGCTAGATCGATTTTTGTGTTTATTTGTAGGTAGAGCTCCAATCATGCCACCACAGTAAGAAAAAAATAACTGGACTCCCCCCTGGTTGTAGCTCGAATGACTGCACAGCAACCAATGAACAAATTTTGTGAATTATTTATGTGTACGAGTGAACATGTAGCCTAAAAGTGCTTCAGTATAGTTTGGGAATCAAATTAATGCAAAATATAAATTATAAATTAGAGAGGAAAAGTCAAAATGAGCAGAAAGTGCATTTCATCCATTTTCCCTCCTGTCATAAAGGTAACTTTTAGGTTGGCAACATAGAACAAAGTAACTCTACGTACCCAAGCTGGTTGTCAAGGTAACAGCTAAGAGGCCCTTTTGGACTGAACAGCTAATTCCCACACCTATTTCCTGACCATGACTGCGGAGAGATGTAAATTTCATCATGCTTTATGGCCCCCGCCGGCAGCAATGAGCGTTGACAAAGGTGACCAGTATGTACAAGCTGAAATACCGTAACAACTCAGCAGCACCTCATTAGCTGTATCACACTGATCCAGCTGCTCGGTCATCACTGCCATCTCACCGAGGGTTATGTCATCCTGTTCTTGTTCTTCTTTCTCTTTCCTCACCAAAATCCCCGGAGTGGAGGGTTATTTTTTTGTTTCCTCACCTCCTCCTTCTGCTGCCTCCCATTGAGATCAGTGATTCAGACTGTCCTCAGGTGGCTCTTTTCATCCCTGTCAGCCTGTCAGTTTATCAAATGCAAGTACTCAACTCTTCATGTAAGAGGTTCACTGTCCAGAGGAGAGAGGGAGGCTACCTGACACCAGCTGTTTCCACTTTCAGAATCTTACCAATTAAACTGAACTTACTGACCAGAATTGGAGTTTTCTTAGTTTTTACCCATCTGATCAATTACTCGATGTTATGAAATATGAATTTTGAAAGCAACAGGATTTAAGAAAAATTTAATTCTTTGAGAAGTTTAAAAATTTGCTGTCAGTTTGCTCCATTGGGACAGGGGGAAAGTGATTTTTTTAGACTTGAGTGGCCACACATAGAGGTTGCAAGTTTGCAAAGTAATGATTGTTGCTCCAAAGCTTAGCAACCATGACAATATCCCCATTAGAGTAATGCGCAACATAAGTAAACCCTATACATTTAATGGCACAGGTATCATTATTTCATATGAAAAAAACAACCCCAAAACAATCCCAATGCCACTTTTGACAGCTCAGTTCATGCTTAATTTCCATTCAAAGTGTACTTTAAAAAAATAAAATAAAAACAAACATAAAGAAAATGACTGATGGTTTTGGTGGATTGAACTATCCAACCATACAGCTGGAGCTGAAATAATTTGATGATGGCCCAGAGCGTTGACAGAAAATAAATTGGAAACATTTCTTTAGATGTGACTTGGTTTTCCTGACAGTAGAGTGACAAACATTTGGTTCCACTTTCTCAGATTCCTCTCTTATAAACAAGTAGTGTGAAGATAGTCCTCCAAACCAAGTATCCATTTATAGTGATAATGCTGATATTACAGAGCAGCATTAAAGTACCTGGATATTTCCCCATACGGATAAGAATAAGACAGGTCCAAAAAAAAAAAAAGTTTCTGGGTCTTTTTCTTTTTAAGAGTTTAGTCCAAATGTTCTGACACTTCCAGCCCTATTAAGAGAACTTTGTGGAGTATTTTTGTTTAACTTTCCTCAGGTTGAGTCCCTGTCCGCTGAGGGCCAGTAAAGCAAACAGTGCGATGACTTCTCAGACGTTGTAATTTGTGTGCATCTTAATGACTGTTGCCCCGAGCTATTTGCACAGTTTCCCAGCAGCCCTGTGAAGGTCAGTGAGGCATCACAGCAGACGTTAAAGACAGACTTAATTGCTCAGACAATTGAGAGTTGACACAAACATCACTTCTTTCTTATACCAACCTAAGGCTCGCACACATCCCCCAAACTAATTTCACCGTGCTGCATTACATGCATGTTCAGACACAGGGGACACAAATGCTTCTGGGCACACACAGATACTGAAAGATCTCTCACTAATGAAAGTTGTGCACAATATCTTCCTTATATTGCTTTTTTCATGGTAACGAAAAACTGAACATTGGACAGGTTTTTGTAAATGAACCCTTGGGAAAGTTTTTAAAGAGATATATATATTTTTTTAATCAAAATATACCACAAGGTCTCTCTTTTTTCAACAGCATGCAGGCCTCTAAAACCGTTTTTGTGGCATCTTTGCTGTCGTAAGTCTGATCTTCACAGTTTTGCTATTTTTTTCATGCCATGATTATGAGGAGTTATTCAAAGTAATGAACCATACAAACAAATAATACAAGGCCTATTACACATGAGTTAGGGGGTCGTGTAAATTCCCATTAAACAGGTTTTAACGATTTGCAATAGTATAAAGATTATATTTAGTTCTTATTTATATCCTGTATCCTGATACACAGCTATGTTTTTAACAGGTTAACGGTCAGCACTTCAGGCAGGTCTTTTTCTTTTACAAATTTTGATTAGTCAAACCATGGCCCAGTGTTTTCACTTCACCTCACTCCATCTTGATTGGGGTTGGGCACAAAGATGTCAGCCTTTCTGTGTCATGTTTTTGAGTGGTTTCCTCTCAGCATAGTACAGTTTTGATCTGCATTTAAGGATGCAGTGATAAACTATGTGCACAGTAAATAGATTTTAGGTGTGATTTTGAGCCCATGCAGTGATTTTTACTGTAGGTCACAACAATCCAGTACAGGTTTTGGGGTAGAATGTATTCATGATCTAGTGTACTGTAGTTGATGAAATTCCCAAATTCATTACAAGTTTAAACTTAAAAAAAACTTTACTCAGGAATTGCTAAACCATTTCCTTTCCCAGTCTATCACAGAGTGGGGAACCTCTTCCCATCTTTACTTTAGACTACAGAAGACTCTCTAGAGGGCCTTTTTTATCTAGTCATGCTCCTAACCTGCTGTGAGTTAATCTTGTCAGTTGAGAGATGTTTCCTCTGGTGTTTTTTCTTCTTTACAAAACTTTTCGTTTTTTTTTTGTTTTTTTTCCCCTGTCCCAACTTTTTTTTGAAAACATGCTGCTCATATCAAATTTGGAATAAATACATAGTTTTTTTCAAAGAACAATCAAATTATTTCAGTTGTAAACATTTGATATGCTCTCTCTGTACTACTTTTAGTAAAAATAAAGAGTTACATCAAATTCTCTTCATAATTTACACAACAGCCCACCTCTTACATTATTGGGGTTGCAGATACCCCACATGTTTTTGTGTAAACTGGTGCATCTGCACGAAGGACTTATGAGCTGTTGACAAGGCTGCAGACATTGTTTTCATACTTTTTTAACCTTGCAGAATTAAACTCGAAGTAATTCCTGCCTTTATTTTCCATTTAACCACTTTTCTGATATGAAAAGACTCTAAGGTGAACCAAAACCAGCCATTATACATTGCCTTAGGCTCTTTAATCAAGGAGTTCTCTGAATGTGATATTGAAGCATTCAGGTCGAATCTTATCTCATACATACTTTTTCAATACTCCAGCAGGCTAATTTAAATTAAGAACTTAGAGGCCAGAGTCACACATGTAGAAAATTAGTGCAGACATAATGATGTTTTTTCTTTTTTTTTTTTTTTGCTGGTTTAATTAACTGTAGAGTGATCGTCTTATTCTGTATGCATGCTGTGCTGTCTGGGTCAGAGAAGTCATATCCTTGTCTTTGCCTCTCTTGAATTAATACCCCAAATCTGTTTTGTATTAAGACTCAATCTGTCACTCACAATAAAAGACACTGCTAAATTACTTTCTCCTTTCTCCACAGTCAGCACAGGCAGCTGGTATATTCCACCCACATATACAAAAGTTGCAATCAATGTTTTTGTATATATACTAAACCTTTCTATGCCAACCTTTCTCTAAAATCTTGAATCAATAATCATTTTAAAAGATCATTATCAATGAACCTCTTCGTGCTGTAATCTGTTTCTGTAAAAATATTAAATTTAAGTTGCGTATAACAAATCCAATCCAAATGCAAAAACATCTTTATCAGCGTTTCAGGGCCACACTGAGAAATCCAAAAATGATCAAACTTTTGACCCAAAGACATAATAATAAGAGGCACAGAGATGCTGTAGATGCAGGATCATCAGGTGTTTGTTCCTGCATTTCTTGTGATTTAAACAAGAACCAAATCACAGTTGTCCTGTTAGTCATTGCATGTTGCTTGCTGCAGTCAAACTCTTTACACATTCAGCTGGCAGGCTCTGTTCAGCTTGTAGATGCATTACAAGCAGTGTCTTGCTGTGAAAGGTTTTGATGAATCCCACATTCGACTGGCTTTCATGTTAAACACCTTTCCTAACAGATTCCAGTTTTTCCTCAGCCGCCTCCCTCCCCCTCAGCTGTTGGTGGAATCCAGTTATTGACTGACGAGAAGAATGGTTTTAAACATTTTGTGAAATTGATTGCACCTTTCGGTGGTATTGTCTCGTGGTGCGATTCATCGCAGTGCTGGACTCTAAAATCATTTATCAGGGCTTGAAGATGAATCCATACGCCCAAACTCAGAGAAGAAACAGGGAAATGTATTTGCTTTATCATGAGTCACGTGGTGCCACCAAAGTCAGAGGAATAAAGAAGACCTTCACTGCAGACATACAAAAGCAACCCTGCGAATTCCAATCCAACCAGTGGATGAATCAAATATATTTTTCAGCAATTCTCTCACAACAATGCCTTCTTGAAAGTTTTTAAAGGCAGTCAGAATAGGCTCATCCTTTCTTCAGTCCTGTCTACCTGCTGCTTGAACACTTGACTCAAAATCAATAGCGAATCAGGAAAACAAGCCAAAAACTTTAGCTTCACTTGTTAGACACTTTCCTCTTTTTTCTGCATGAAATGGCGTTTTTCCAAAATATAAGTACATTGGCATTCAGCTCAACAAAAAAAGTGTCTGGCAAAGCAGGCATGCATGACATGAGGTGACCTCTGCTTGGATGTGATTCAGGATGAAAACTAGATGCATTGAATACTTTCAAAGCAAAGCACAGAGCAGCTTTAAAATCTGAAAACACTCAGCCACTCACATGCTGACCAGGTCTTGAAGAGAGTAGTTTGCTTCTTCTAATGTGCACTCCTTCTTCACACAGATACTCAACAACACATCCAAAACATAATGTCTTTTAGTAGTGAAACCATGCAGGAGAAAGTGCCTGGGGATGATGTGTGTCTATGATACAGGGTGCTGATCAGACATGTCTGTGTACCAGGTGCTTTTACTTATGCAGGGATTGTAATTGCAATGGGTTTTGGAGACTGAGTAGAGAATATAGCAATCTAAGCAGGTGAATTGGCAGCTTTGCTATGGCTGTGCTGAGCAGACTGCTAAATAAGGTTTTCTGTTGTCCAGAGAAAAAGCCATGACCGTGAAGAGAGGAGAGAGAGAGCGAGGGAGAGAGAGAGAGAGAGAGAGAGAGAAGAGTGACAAGTGATACTGAGAGAGAGTAAGGGCAACAGAGAGAGCGAGAGAGAGGGAGGGCGAAAGATCCAGAGACAGGGAGGGAGAAAGAGGCAGAGGTAAGATAGACGGCGAGCACGGAGGAGTGAGGACAATGGAAGGTGAGGGAGGGAGAGTGTGAGACGAGCACCTTAGAAAATCAAGCAGCCAGTCTATTCCCCCGAGAGGGAGCAAGGCTGGCTGTGGCTGACTGATCCAGTGCTGCGCTGCACTCTGTGAAAGGGGCCAATAACAGGCTGAGTAATGGGATTGTGCCACTGCAGATTGTGTGTGAACAGGTTGGGTCCTTGGGTGTTCCCACACGTCAGGTTAGCACTGGCCTGAATACGAACGGACTGAACAAGAGGAGAGTCTGCTTGTTGTGTTCAATGTCTAAAGGCTCACCGGTTTAAATTAAAAGGGGAATGATGGGAGTTTGATTTTTTTTTTTCTTGTTGTCAACAAACATCATGAAAAGACCCAAACTGACGATCGATAGATCAGACTAAGATACATAACCTGTCAGGCCGAATTCTCTATCCAGTTGTGCTCAAAGGCTGAATAAAGTTCATGTTCTTTGTACATTAGAGCTTCATAAAATAAAAAAAAACACGAACCAAAAGCACAAGAATGAGCTTATCGTTCCATTATGGGACTTTGTTCATAATATAACCTGACTTTGCTGAATACTAATTCTGACTGGTTACCTCAGTATCTGTAAGTAGACCCTCGCTAATGGTAGTTAAGAGTCTCCACTGCTGCATTATTGATCATAGATGACATCAATCACATCAAACCACACAAAGACAGTCAGCGTCTAATGTCAGCTTTTAAAAATAGATGTAGATGATTTTTCTTATAAAGAGAAAGAAGAGTAAAAAAGTAAAACCAGAGAAGTGAAAAAAGAGAGAGAAAAATTGACACTAAGTAAACTTTAAGTAGAACAAGTTCCCAAAGGCTTATTAATGAAGAAGAAAATGTCAACAACAAATGATATTTGCAGGGAGGGAAGCATCAATCAAACTGTGATGATTTATGTGCCTTCCTTCAAACCATTGAAGGAAATATTTGGTTTAGTGTGAATTATAACAGGTAGATAAATTTACTTATTAAAGTTCACTTAATGAATCATCAGGCTACAGAAAACACAGTGGCTTTGGGGAGCACTTTACACTTCGGTGTTACAGGCATAAGAAGAAATAAAAGTATGCCCAGATCAGTGGAATCAAAACAAAATATTGTTTTGCTTCAGGTTTTTCACAACTACACCAAGACTAAGCTGCAGGAGTATGCTTAATTTTTTCTGTGAATAGGGTAGCCTGACTGGGCCACTGACTTTTGTAGAGGTGGAGTAATCCATTAATAACAGTTATCTTTTAATCACTCATCTCACTCATCAATTATCCAAATAGTTGATTTGATATAAGTAATGCATCTAACAAGCCAATCATAGTTCAAGATTCTGGGGTGGCATTAGGTGTAGCCAAACAGATTTTAAGGGACGGCTCATCCCACCCCTGGCCTCTCTTTTAGAGATGCCCCTGCGAATTGATAACCTCACTGCACAAAAACTGCAGTTCTGCAAGTGTCCGTTTGAGACACTTGGCCAAGCTAATAACTATTAGCTTTAAAATTTTCAGATTCATAACCTGTCTTCTTTTGAGTCATTAGATTTTATTTTAATTTTGTTTGAGCAAATACAACATTTTAAAGCTATTACTGTACTCTCATGAAAAAATAAGACCTTTTGTGAAGAAACCCACAGAAATGAGGATAGGTGGCAATCAAGAGCCACCACTTCACCAGAGCGTTAATTAAAGCTTTGAGAAGGTCAGCATGTTGGACATTTTGAGTCATGTTGTACAAAATGTGAATTCTGAGCAGTGAATAGTGTTGAATTAATGTGGTCATGGGTCCCCAGGCTATTCTTTGCATGGGGCCCAGCTAGCTCATGCTCTCTACCAGGTATAGGTAATTCAGCATGTAAAAGTGTGCTGGGTCTTTTGTATGGCCGTACACATTCAGGGCACACTAGCATTCACAAACACATTTACTGAAGTAGCAGCCTTCTATATAAACAGCCATGCTACAGGAGAAAAAAGGCCATCTAAAGTGTATCTTTAGGCTGGTAAAAGCTTTTTGCTTTCAGATCATGGCGCTGAATCTGCAGATGTACAAACAACCTTGTTTTACTGAGGCAGAATCTCAACATGCTCGCAGAGGCACAATCAAACTGAATACAACAAAGCCACAACAACACAATAAACACCGCAGCAGCACATATGGGTGGTAACATCAGGAATGCAACAACAGCACGATCACTTACCTTTACAGGGGTTTTCTTCTTTGTTTTCCTGGCAGAGTCTTTTGTTGGGCTGATAAACTCAGTTTGCACAAAATGTCACTTTGACTGAAAAGAAACCTCCTGTTACAGGTGTGGCTGTCACAGTCTCGCTGTAGAGGTTGGTCCATCATGGTTAACTCCCAGAGTACAACATATTGGTTACTGAGATGTGTTCGTCTTGACTCAGACTTCTTATCTGAGTGACAGGGTGAGGCAGGGCGGTCGTGATCTGTTACACTGTTAGCTTTGCAGGGCTGTAGCTAAAACGGGTGTGAGAGCTACTCTTGCAGTCGGTAGGTTTACATGTTGTACAAAAAAATAGCAGTTGGGGATTGATTTTCTGTTTGTATGTGGCTCAGTTGGACTGAAATTGGCCGAAGTGTTTGCACACTGGGCTTTGAGTCTGAAGATGAATAGCATGAATGAGTTGTTGGGAACCTGTGTTGGGGAAAAAAAAACCCTGAACAGATGAAAAAAGGATGTCAAAAAGACAAAACTTTCCTATCATACAAACAAATAGTACAGAGCTGTGTCAGTGTTTTCATTGTTCAATGTAGATCCCATGAGACTTTTGCCAATGCGCTTTGCGGACTGTTTTGATCCCTTATTCGTCAGCCTAGAGGCGATTGTATACTGCAGTAACAAGCTGAAAGTGGGCATGTCACCCCCTCCACTTGAAGCATCTGATTGGGCTGTAACTATGACGACTAAACAGGACATGTACACCTACTGAGTGTTTTATACCAAAGAAACATCAGCTAGCTAATTGGTAGTCCACTTGCTGTGAATCGTCACAGCTTTGACTTCTATAAAATAACTTGGCAGCTTAAAATATTCATAGCCAAATTTCCATAGTCCTTGAGCATGCCATTCTTTCATTTTTGCGCTCTGTTCTTGTATTTTCTGTCTGACATTTTGCCGCTGAGAGAGCGGTCACATTATTTGAAATCTAAACTGTCTCCATGAACACGGACCAGTTGGGGGTTAATAACATTTTCTTTCTGATATAAAGTTGAATTATACATAGTCTGGTCAATCTGGAGATGTTTGCACATGTGGTGCTGCAGCCTCACCCAGCCTGTGCTGCCCTGTGCTTGGCTGTGATAAATCCATACATTGTGCTGGCTGTAACTGTGCATTAAATGGTTACGTTAAAGCCAGTATCCAACCTGTCTCTGTGGATGTCAGGCTGTCTTGAGGGATAAGATCATCTTCTGGACTGAGTCTGCGGGCTCCATATTGATGTGGGGTTTAGTTACTGTAGTTCACACAATGTCAGTCTGGATTAGAGCCTCCACTGCTCTACACCTCCCCGCCCCCGCTTTGAAGCCCTCTTGCTCCACATCCGGCTGGTGCTTTAGCTCACATTTAGCACGTCCCATTTCATTAGTCTCACTCAGTCCCTCACCTTGTGGCTGGGCTCAAGCTGCTGCTGCACAGCCATTTCCATTTCCTCTTTGATGTTTGTCCATCACATCAGCCGCTCCTGCGAGTGTGTGGGCATAAGGGAGGGAAAGCCCAAGTGTGTGTCGGAGCACAGGAGTTAATTGTAGCGATGGATTTCAGCTACACACACACACACCGCTGTGATCAGTGGATTCATTTAGTAGTTGAAGGTGTAGCTAATGCTCGGCTCAAAGCGAAGATGAAGACGGTGGTGGAAATGTGGCCCAGCAGGATGAGACTAGTGCCAAATGTAGCCTATATCCGTGTGCCACTTCTACACCAACACAAAATGCATTCAGCGGTTTAGATGATGAGTCAAAAGCAAAACAAAATGAGGAAGTTTGGGGGAGAAATTTGAAGAGTAAAGATTAAAGATTATTCAAATGAACTTCCCACCTACTTCAAATGTTGAAAGAAGAATTTAATTCATTGGCAAGCCACCAAAGTCACGACTGCTGCTGAAATTATGCTTTATCCTGCTGTAAGAATCTGCCTCTTTCTGTTTGTAAGTACCAGTTTGCTCCACTGCAGCTTCAACCGCTCTTTTTCACCAAATTCCAGGCCTCTGACGTCTCATTACTTTGGATTAACTGGTCACCTCTGACAGCTGTGAGGGGGCTTCAAAAGATGGCCTCGGGGTTTCTTCATACCCTGTGGCACCGTGTTATCTAACCCTGCCAAGGTGCTGAGAGACGGAGGGCAGCAAGCGGACAGGGGAGTTTAACTGGCTGCTTCTGCCTCAAACTCCATTTCAACTTGACCTCATGCACCTTCCTCGGAGTAAATATGTTTTTATTCTCTTTGATTTCTTTTGCCTGACTATATGATCTTCTGAGTCATTAGCATAGTGGAGAGGTTGTTTTTTTCTGTGTGAGACAGCTGTCTAAACAGTACACCAACCAGAGCGCAGACATGGTTAGCTGCTGAACTTAGTGGAGTATTCAGAGTAAGGGTTGGATGTTTTTTCTTCAGAAGCTGATGGAGGTCAAAACAGAGCTAACAGGACAGTAATTGTTGGACTTTCTGTATGTCATGGACACAATTCACACCTGAGCAGGGTGTAACAGCTGCCGTACTGAACTGCTCCTGCTCATACTGTTGGAGTATCTACATACAAATCGCTACAGCTGCTGCCAAGCTGCAGCTGCCAACTCTGTCTCTTCACATTGAGTTTACCTTCAATAAGCATCATAAAAAATAAACCTTTTAACCTGGTTCAGCAAAAATATTACTATTCAGCTTGACAAAAAACAAACAAAAAAAGATACAGGCAGTTTGGAGGTAAATTAATGTTCCTGTGTTTTATAGCCATCATAGCCTGAGTACAAGGTGTATTGTGCCTGTTTTTTTATGTCAATATTACCACCCACATGTCATTTCCCATGTCTATTTTTGCTCAGTGTAGCGAAAAGGTAGAGCAGCCTCCTGTTCTTTTTTGGCACTCTCCGCCCTGGCTGTGTTGCTGACAAAAGAAAAACAAGCAGTTCCCCATCGGTGGTGTCCAGACATCCAGTGTCACCTGCATGTTGGACGAACAACTGTATGTTCACACTTTTACTAAAACACCTTAAAGTGCGTTGGATGAGCAAACTATTTGAACAGCATTTATCTCCAGCCTAATGTAAATGACATTTACTCATCAGATTCAAGTCTCTCTGGAACTGATTTGGGCTTCTGACTGTTTTTTATTCAGTTGTACTATTCTCCATTTACATAATTAGTATTTATTTCTCCATAGATCCAGTCAATCATTTCTACCATGTTGTTGGATCAGGTCAAACTAAGCAAATTCACCCAGACACTCCTTGGTCCTCAGCTACATTTCTAGTTCCTCCTAAGACAGGCATTCCCAATTCAACTGGGGAATATAATCCCTCTGGCAAGCCCTGGGTCTACCCCAAGCCAGGTGTACCCAAGAAACCAGTTAAAGTATGCATCCAAGGGGCTATGCTATTCAGAGATCAGTACTGTGAAGAGACTACTTCGAACACCAGATGTCCAAGCCTGACCCATCTCAGAGGCTGAACCCAGCCACCTTCAGAGGCAAATCATTTCAGCTGCTTGTATTTGCTGTCTCTTTTTTTTCAATCCCTTTCCAAAGTTTATGACCACAGGTGAGGGCTGGAACGAAGATCAACTGGTAGATCAATATCTTCACTTTTAGGCTCCCTGTTCTCTTGTACAACTCCTGCAGGCTACAGCTACCTGCGTGCCAACCTCCTCATCTATTTTACCCTCATTTACAAACAAGACTCAAAGGTATTTTTGTCTTCTTCCTGAGGCAAAGATATTTATTTGTGTGATGAGTCATGCTATTTTGACTTTCTCCTTAATAATACCTCAAAAGTCTCACACTCCCCCTGCAGATATTTAAGAGGCTGAATAGAGACGCGATCTTGTGGCCTGCCACAGAACTGTGACTCTAGCAGCAGGAGTCAGAGGTAATTAGGCCGGTAGGTGGATCCATTTCAGTATTCCCACAGAAAGAAGTGTCTAAGCTCTATGTTCCCCTGTAATCCCTCCACTGGGCTGCCCATTATGACTCAGCTCCCATCCAGACTGAAAGTCATCACTTTCTGCAGCCATGGCAGCCCTGATGAGCCAGGTTGCCGCAGGCTTTCTGACAGCAGCCTCATCTCTGGTGACCGGAACAAACTCGGCACAGAGCCGGAGTCTCCTCCTTCGCTCAGGTTGAGCAGGGCTGGAGGGAGTGCCGCTTAGTTCCCCTTGTTTAAAGATAAGATAAGGCTAACGACTGTAATAGCTCCTCAGGGAAACAGATACTCAGGATAATAGAGATCCAGAGCTCCTATCAGTCCAGGTATAATGGACAGAGCAGAGGTTTCTGGCCATGGAGAAAAGCACTGATGAGCTCTGCTTTGCATTACAAGTCTCTCTAATGACTGTGGTGCATCAGCTGTCATCCAGCACAGCGGAGATATAAAACTCCCTTCCCCTTTTGACTTTTGCTTTTTATACCATCACTCATCACTCTCTCTTCATTTAACTTTTGCTTGTGGAAAAAAGAATAAAGTCTTAGACAGATGATGAAACCTCTGAGCTTTTTGAGGGGGTGTATAAATGTTTTTTTCTTTTCTTTTTCAGTCTAAAACTTCTGTGGTCTTTTTGTTCTTTCACTTCATGAATCTTTCATGGAGAACAAGGTTCATTCAGCAAAGTCAAACTCTCCCCAAATGTTTTGTACAGAGACTTGCAGAAATACAAGCATATCTAGCCTCACCAACCAAATGCCAAAAGAGGTTAGAAGGGCAATGTGCTCCATGGAGTGAATTTATTTTTTGAAAGATCACTTCAAGCTTTTGTTGCAGGTGATGTCTGACTCAAAACACACTCGTTGCTTTATCACAGTTAAGAGGCACAATGGGGCTCTTTTGAGTTGAGAAAGGCCTTCTGGGGTCACGTTTTTTTTTTTTTTTCTTTTTTGATGAAATGAGTCCAGTGTGAGGCATCAAATAATAGCTCATTTGAATCGGAATTTGGAAGATTTCACAGGGAGGATGTGTTTAACATTTTCCAAAACGGAGCAAAAGACTGATATAATACAGAGTTCACAACCTTTTTGTCTTGTCAACATCTTGGTCTTAGTTGGACTTTTGTAAACAATGTGAAAATAAAGCATACAAAGCATTCAGTAAAAGTAAACCACATTAGAGATAATGCAACAAGTTTACCTATGAAATCCCTACATGGGCCTACGTTCAACTATTTTTTTACTCAGTTTCCCTGTGATAACTTGTTAATTTCATTTATTTTCTGAAGGTCAAAATGTACCATCAGATTATCATGACTCACATCCCCAGATCAGCATAGGCATGAAACGATAAAAAAAAAAAAAAAAGCTTCATTAGAAAGGTCAATGACAGCGTGGTACATCGTGGTCCGCTCATCACAGCAACCAGTCTGTTTTCTTTACGAGACCACCAGAAAATTTTCATGATGTCAGACAAAGCTAACAAACCACACAAGAAATTGTTTAGGAGGAGGGTGCAGCAAATTTAAAGCCAAAACACATTCATAAATACATGTGAAGAACAACAACAACAACAAAAAAAAAAAGAAAAATATAAAATGACAGAAAAAAAGCCAATGTAGTGGCAGAAACAGCAAACATACAGTATAGAAATAAACAATGCAAACCAAAACTAAAAACCAGGGGCCTGTTCTATGAAGCAGGTTCAACCTAGCGAGGTAGCCTTGGAGCTACCTCGCGCAACTTAGTGGGGTAGCCAGCGGTCTCGCTAAACGGTCTTACGACGCTGGTTAACAACCTCGTAAGTTGATCCAGGTTTGCTATGAGCGCGTGCACGCATGTAAGGCGGAGCCCGCCGCATCTGACCAATCGTGAACATGGACCAGTCTGGAGTGTCAGAGCCGGCAGGAGAGCGAAGCACCGCAGACTTTACAAACGAGGAGCAGGAGACGGACGATCATGAGAAAGTATGAAGAATTCAAATCTATCATAAACCTCAAAAGCAACACCGTCGCCGCTGCAAAAGCACGGAGGGAATGCTGGCAGAAAAGTAATCTTTGATGCCATTATCACCCTGAAATAGCACTGTTCAACATGCGCTTTTAACTAAGGTGACCAGATGTCCCCGATCCGGGGACAGTCCCCAAATTGGATGATCTGTCCCCGGCTAAAGCTGTCCCAGAAAATGTCCCAGATTTAAGCGTTTCATGAATGAGAACAAAAATGTTGCATGTGGGCTAGAACAACGGTTATTACAGTGGGTAGGAAGCACAAGTAAGCAGTCCTGAACAACAGTAGTTACAGGGGTTATTATAAGGGGCTTGCGCTGCTACTAAATGGTACCGAGATGTTGTCTGTGATCACACAGCCCATGCCCGTTCATTTCCAAGATGAATTCATTCATTTGTTCATTCCTATTGTATTTACATTTGTTGTGTGATATGTAGGCCATATGAGCCTTTCATAAAGGTGGTCAGCCGGAAAAGTAAGTGGGTCCGTGCGGTCCCTGAAAACTCTCGCGCGCCGGAGTGCTCCTCCTCGGACAATGCGAGCACCGAGGGCTATAGGATCCTCCAAGAACGGACAAGCCATTTTTCGAGAGAGCTCATTGGTCAGTGGGCGGGGTTTTTATACTCCGTGAGTTCGATCTGGAACCTAACCTGCCCCGGAGCAGGTTAGCCGTTCAGCGTATGTTGCCATGGAGACTCGCCTTGCTAAGAAGTGAACCCGCGTCGCAGAACATGAAACCTCGAAGTTACCTCGCTAAGCAGTAATCCTGCTTCGTAGAACAGGCCCCTGGTTTAGAAACACACTCAAAAAAAAAAAAAACTTGAAATGAAGACATGATAACATAACAGCAGTCATCCAGGCCTCTAGGGGCGCTCAGAGGAATACTTTAAAGCTCCATGAACTGTTTTCCTCTGGGAAATCTTTATCCAAACCTTGCAAGAAACTGAATCAAAAATTTAGACAAAAAAGCCGCACAGTGTAGCAAAAGAGAATAAAATTAAAATTACAGTAGCTGCATGGCTCGTTCAGCTAACATACACTATGCATTCAGAGCCTGACAGAAGGCACAGTCAGCTGGTATCACAAGCTGCACAGCCAAGTGAGAGTCAAAGCTAAATTAAGTCACTCTCAGGAGTAGAACTTCAGCAAAGCTAGCCATGCATCAACAATAATTTTTGAGTTTTGTAACCTATAATGTTTTGTTTTTGCTGTGGTCAGTGAGGCTTGGCCCTCATGGACAATTTGAGAAATCGATGAGTTTCAAGGTGTCTCATTTTCTCCTGTCAAGAATAAAACCTCATTGAGTGTTACACTGAAAACCTGGAACACCTTCATCATCATGTCTTTATTGTCAGTGCTGTTGTTTTGCTTTTTTTGTTGTTGTTGATATTGCTCTGCATCTATATAGCTGTGTATTTTTTATCATTTCATTTATTTTATTTAGCTCTTTTTCAATGTCCTGCATTGTTTGGGGCTTATGTGTAGGTTTTCATTTGCAGCAGGTTTCTATGAATGAAGACTGGGGATGGGAATTGATAAGATTTTATCAATATCGATGCCATTATCGATTCTGCTTATGATTCAATTCTGTAATGATTCCCTTATCAATGTCTTTCCTCGATTAAAAAAAAAAGTAGACTATAGGTTTTCACCGTTAACTCAAAATTTCTCTGATAACAGAAACAGATGTATACCACCTTTAGTGACAGTCTAAAATAATCAAACAAAATGCTATTCGCACAGCATTTCTGGCATGCATTGTGCATGTTCCCTGGGATGCGTCTTTTTTCCCCCGGAAAGTTGCAAAATCGCATCGGGCTTGATGTGTGTAGTCAGGCATGTCAAAATTCGCCTCCAAATATTTTGTGATTTCGCGTTCTATATTCGTGTTGGCCCTGGTGTGTAAGGACCTTAAAAGAGGCCATATTCTGAATCCCCAAAAAGAGGACTCTACTACGCGGGGCAGACTTGTTTGTGAAATTTTGAGTTTTTTTGGCTTTGATTAGAAGTGAGCGGAGGGGCAGAGAGCACTGATGCACTGCACTGTTTTATAATCAATGGATACACGTTCCGGACATTTGAAGGATTTTATAAACTCCCCGGACAGCCCCCCAAAAGAGGACATGTCCGGGTAAAAGAGGACCTATGGTCACCCTTACATATGTGCCTTCCATGCTGTGCTGAGACGAGGCAGCAGCGGCTGACGACAGGTGTTCAACAGGTGTTGTGCCGTAGAAAGAATCCAAGTTTTCCTTACCATTGGGTGGATTCAAAAGTGCCTTTAATGATTTCATTCAGACTATTCAGATAAGCCGAAAACAAAAGCCCTCTGATTCGGAATATTTGCTGTCCCGAAAATATAATATTTTTTTTACCATAACAGCTTACTGTACAGTTGATATACCCAAGTACACCTCTATGTGTGCATTTTTGGGACACATAAAAATAGAGCAAAAGTTTGCTGCTCCAATACTTGTGTTTTTTAAAATATGAGATCATATTTCTTCCACTTTAAGACGCTAATGAGCGGATGAGATGTATTCTACGGCAGAGGACAGCATCGAATACATGACTCCTTATATTTGATGCAGTGCCCCATTGACAAATGTTGAAGCATGTTGCTGGTGTTCCCACCTTTGCATGTTTTCACTGCTCGACAAATGTTGCACTGTTG